CCTGGCGACTCCGGCACCACCGTAGCAGGGTCGACCGTAGATAACCCAGCGCACACCGCTTGGGTCCAACAGGATCAATTGATCTTGTCTCTCCTGATCTCATCGCTCTCAGATGAGGTTATGTCTCTGGCGGTTGGTCGGGAGACTTCCAGAGATGTTTGGCTCGCAATCAACGAATCGCTAGCATCTTCCACGAGGGCTCGGTGCCTCAATTTGTTAGGGCAATTCCAAACACTCCGGCAAGGCAGTATGACGGCCTCGGAGTATCTCGGCAAAGCCAAATTGCTGGTTGAAGCTCTCTCCCTCGCCGGTCACCATCTCACCCTCGACGAACAGGTTCTCTACGTGCTGCGTGGACTCCGGCCGGAGTTTCGGGCGTTAGCCAGTGCTCTCACCGTGACTGGAAAGTCGGTGACCCTATCCCAGCTCGGTGATCTTTTGCAGGCGCAGGACTTCATTCAAGGCGATGATCTCTCTGCGATGGATGTTGGAAATAGCTCATCTCCGGTGGCCCTGTATGCTGGTCGCGGTGGTCAGACCAGTGGGCACGGCGGACGGCAATCCGGGAATCAGCGCGGTCGAGGGCGTGGCGGTGGACGGCAGAATGGCGGAGGTCGTGGCCGTGGCAATCCTCGGTGTCAGATTTGCCGGAGTCACGGTCATACGGCCGTCTACTGCTACAAACGATACACGGAACCTGCACCACATGCCAATGTCGCCGTCGCAGGAGGCTCGCCGGCGGACGCCACTCAACCGGACGCTTGGTTCCCTGACACCAGAGCGTCCACCCACGCGTCGCCGGATGAGCAGCAGGTTGGGCAGTCCGAGCTCTACACTGGCAGAGATGTGCTGAAAGTAGGCAATGGCGCAGGTTTGAATATCTCCCGGGTTGGCCGTACAATTATCCCATCCCATTCCAGAGTATTAAAAATGCCTAATATACTGTTTGTTCCCAAATTGTCGTTACCCTTATTATCTGTTTATCGTTTCACTAACGAAAACAACGTCTTTTTCGAGTTTCATAAAGACTCTTTTTTTGTGAAGGATTGCACTACACGGGAAACGCTTCTTAAAGGCTCCGCGGTAGGCGGTCTATACAAATTGTTGGTGCCTCGGGCGCATTTTGCATTTCTATCGGCAAAAGCTACACCCTCTGTCTGGCATCAACGATTGGGTCACCCTCATAAACAAGCCCTGCAACGAGTCTTGAAAAACTGTCCGGTCACGTCAAATAAAGCCCATGCGTCAGGAGTCTGTACCGCGTGTCGACTTGGCAAATCAGCTCGGTTTCCTTTAGATAGAGTTAGTTCGTCAAGTTTGAATATTTTAGATTTATTGTATACAGACATCTGGGGGCCTTCCCCGGTTATTTCAGATTCAGGCTACCGATATTTTGTTTTGTTCGTAGATGACTGTACACGTTTTTCCTGGTTTTATCCCTTACGGCTAAAATCAGATATATATAAAGTGTTTGAATTGTTTCGGGCGATGGTAGAACGGCGGTTTTCCCGTTCTATCAAAGCCATTCAGTCTGATTTAGGGGGTGAGTATCGCCGCCTCCACAAAACGTTTGAGTCTTTAGGCATCACACACAGACAATCGTGTGCCTATACCCACGAGCAAAACGGCCGCGTTGAACGCCGTAATCAACACATTGTCGAAACTGGCTTGGCCTTATTAGCCGAAAGCTCAGCTCCGTTAAAATACTGGGATTACGCTTTTGAAACAGCAACACAATTAATTAATTGCTTGCCTTCATCAGCTATATCTTATGAAACCCCACACTTCCGTCTACATAAAACCTCTCCACCATACACTTTCTTCCAGGTGTTCGGGTGCAAGTGCTACCCTTATCTTAGGCCATATAATCGGCACAAGATTGAGTACCGCTCTGCACCCTGTGTCTTCTTAGGTACCCAGTTTCTTTTAGGGGATACCGTTGTATGGACTTAACTACAGGGAAGGCATTTATCTGCCGTCATGTGCGTTTTGATGAATCAATCTTCCCATTTGCTTTGCAGACGTCTTTGCAGGTCAATACCAGTCCGGACTCCACTCCCGCACCTTGGGGTGTTGGACCCGTGTTGGTCAATCCCATGCTTGCCCCGGTTCTTGATGAACCACCCATTGCGCAACAACCGGTGCCTATGGCTATAGAAGGGTCGCCTCAGACTGCTCCCCGACGAGGTCGACCCCCGGGACGGTCTAAACGTCCTCAACCCCCAGTTGAGGATCATGTCATGCGCACCAGGTGCAAAACTCGGGGCACAAACGAGCAATTTCATGCCCTGACCATCACTGTAGACCCCACTTGCTATTCTCAGGCCGTGGGCCATCAGTAGTGGCGGGATGCCATGGGCCATCAGTAGTGGCGGGATGCCATGGATCAGGAGTTCAATGCACTTATGCACAACAATACGTGGAAATTAATTCCCGCAACCCCGAGTATGAATGTTATCGGGTGCAAGTGGGTGTTCCGCACCAAGCGCAAAGCCGATGGTACAGTTGAACGGTATAAAGCCCGTTTAGTAGCAAAAGGGTTCAATCAGGTAGCCGGAGAAGATTTTTTTGACACCTTTAGCCCCGTGGTCAAACCCACAACAGTCCGCATTCTGTTTTCTCTTGCAGTATCCCGCAATTGGGTGCTCCGTCAGCTAGATGTTCACAATGCATTCTTAAATGGACGCCTAGCTGAAACTGTCTACATGAAGCAACCTCCCGGTTACGAAGACCCCGCTCATTCGGGACATGTCTGTCATCTGCAGCGTTCTCTATATGGACTCAAACAGGCACCTCGGGCGTGGTTTAACAGGTTGCATGAGTTTTTGACATCAACAGGTTTTTTGGCATCCAAAACCGATGTCTCACTCTTCTACTATACGACAGGGAAATCACGGGTATACTTGTTAGTCTATGTCGACGACATAATCATGATGGGAAACGACTCGGCTTTGATTGACACACTCCTGCATCAGCTATCCACAGCGTTTAAAATCAGGGACCTGGGTACACCCAACTTCTTTTTAGGGATTGAAACAGTGCCCTCGGGAGACGGTCTTGTTCTGTCGCAGCGCCGCTATATGAAGGATATCATGACTAGGTCAGGTATGACAGATTGTAAAGCTCTGGCCACCCCAGCTTCGGTTACTCAGCCCGCGTCTCCCTCGTCAACTCCGTTTGAAAATCCGACGCAATATCGTCGCATTGTAGGGGCTCTACAATATCTCACCATCACACGGCCCGATCTCTCCTACTCGGTTAATAGACTGTGCCAGTTCATGCACTCTCCGACGGATGACCACTGGGCATTACTTAAGCGTGTTCTGAGGTATATAAAAGGGACTCAAGACTATGGGCTTCGTTTATCTGCGTCGTCAGCTTCTGATCTACATGCATATACGGATTCGGACTGGGCCGGTTGTCCGGTAGATAGTAAGTCCACTAGTGGATACGCAGTGTTTCTCGGGGATAATCTTGTGTCATGGGTTTCTCGCAAGCAGCGTACAGTCGCCAGGTCATCCACCGAAGCCGAGTACAAAGGGTTGGCCGATGTTTCAGCAGAGGTTACGTGGGTTATTTCTTTACTGCGTGAGTTAGGGTTACACTCCGGCTCCCCTGCCACACTATGGTGTGATAATTTAGGGGCTACCTACCTAGCAGCCAATCCGGTCTTCCACGCCCGCACTAAACATGTTGAAATTGATTACCACTTCGTTCGAGACAAGGTGGCTTCTGGGGATTTCATTGTTAGTTTCGTCTCTACCAAGGATCAGCTGGCAGACATCTTCACCAAACCTCTACCAGCACCACGTTTTCAGGCTCTACGAGACAAGCTCAATGTTGTTGCTCTCCAACCTTGTGCTTGAGGGGGAGTGTTAGCAATAATAATATTTATGTTATAGCATATGGTTTATTCTATGTGGTTATATTCATCTGACTAGGCTTGTCTATTGTATAGGAGATATTTGTGGTAGCTTTCCTATAGGACTCTTCATTGTACTCTCTTTCCTGATCTAATGTGAATTCAGTTTGTTCATCGACATGATCCAATTGCAACTATAGTTCAAAGCATCTTCCCAACCGCGAAGTATGGAATGCTAGAAGAGTCGCACATAGAAGGACGAGCGATCCTCTCACCGACTTTAGATGTTGTTGATCAAATTAATCAGTATATGTGTGACATGAACACTGCAAAAGGTCAGACGTATATAAACTGTGACTCTTTGTGTAAGGTAGAATCAGATAGATGGTGATAATCTCTCACAAGTACATACTCCTGAATTTTTAAATAGATTGAGATTGTCTGGACTTCTTAATCATTCATTGACAATAAAGGTTGGTGCACCTGTTATGTTACTGCGAAACATAAACCACTCTCTTGGTCTTTGCAACGGTACGCGCCTCATCGTTACAAGATTGGCGGATCATATTGTCGAAGCAAGAATAGTTAATGGAACGCAACAAGGAAACAAAGTTCTTATACCACAAATGTCTCTCACCCCTTCTAATACGAGATTTTCATTCAAGTTCCAGCGTAAACAATTCCCGTTGATGCTAGCATATGCAATGACTATCAACAAAAGTCAGGGTTTTAATCACGGTTAATTGTACGTGACTTTTTCCCGAGTCACTCATCCTGATGGCCTTAAAGTTTTAGCTCTAGACGAGGATGGACAAACTTCTGTTAGTACTACTAATGTCGTCTACAAAGAGGTTTTCAACAATGTCTAATTCAAAACAGTTATATTATGTATACTTCTTGCACAAATATAACAAAATTGTTACATATCTACATATTACGTATATATTCCGTTACAAAAAATTCTATAGCTAAATTACTACACAAAGATAATGAGACCAATTAATTCAATTTCGAAACATTCATACAAACCTTCAAAGTTAAAATTTGCACTATCGAATATGAAGCAAATTATAATTCATATATTATAACGAATACATTCCGTGCATCGCACGGGTACAAATACTAGTTCTATATAAACCCTTTTTCATCTTACTAAATTTAAAGATCCATAATTTAATTTAATGGATCTTGCAAATCAATGGGTACATATGATTATGAGGAATTTCTATTTCCTTGCGCAGATAAACCAATGAAAGTAATTCAAAAACTACATGCACAATATGTATTTGACAAGTATGATTCATAACAGTTCTTTTACTTTTGGAATAAGATTTTGGTAGTTTTGACATAATTTTTTTTTTTTCTTTTTTCTTCTCTTGGTCGATCAAGTTTTGTTCCAGACTATGTATATAATTATATACGCACACACTTTCTTCCCAGCTGATGACGAATTGGAGTACAGTGATATGATAATGAATATCTTTGATTACAATATATATATATATATATATATATATATATATATATATATATATGGAAAAAGTTCAAATGCGGCGATGACCTTAGGTGCATCGGAATTTCAGATAACACCAACAGTGTAAGGAAGATACACCACAATGAAATGTAAAAAAATACCAAAAAATACATAACAGACCTAAAAAAATACACTATATAACTCACCATACCTCAATGGTGTATTACCTAAAAAAATACATTATAACTCACGATACCCCAATGGTGTATTACCGAACACTGTATGGTGTTTTTACTCACACCTAATGATGTGTTTTTGTGATGCGTACCTAATTTCACTACTGGAAATTATGGAATTTCTGACCACCTGATTGTGATCTTAAATCAAGTCGAAAGCCTCGTTCCGACCACTTTTGATATCCGGAAAAACCTTTGTTGCTATTTCCGACCACTGGTATCAACTTGATTTAAAATCACTTTCAAGTGGTCGGAAATTCTATAATTTCCAGTAGTGTTTGTGTATATTTTTGTAGTGTATTTTCCTAACGTTGATGTTGTATATTTGTTGAACTATTGGTGACGCCGCACCGCCGCACTTAAGGACATCGCCGCACTTGAACCATACAAAACTATAGAACTAAAACACTTCAAATTTTTACCAAAACTTTAGTAAATTGATTTGATTTTATATTAAACTCATAATAAATTGATTTAAATATTAAAAATCACCACATAAGATGCCATGTCATTCACCTTACCTGCTTACTTGAAAGTAACATGCTAACAATGTTATTTGCAAAAATTTATAGAGTTGAAAGGTTTAATTGCACTTCTTCTTTTTTTTTTTTTTTTAATGACCTAATTACACAAACACTAATAGTTCGAAGGACCACTTTGGGTGCAATTAAAAGTCAAAGAATTAATTTGAGAAAAGGTTATAGTCGGAGGACCATTTTGGGAATTAACTCTTATAATTGTTGTTGTTGTTGTTCTAAAGAGTATAGATGAATTATAAGAATCATTATGTATTAGTTTAAATTTATTCATTGTAATGTGTACTGATTTAAATTTTTAAAATTCTAAGTTTCCACTTTTATAAATTTTAACTTTATAATATATAAATAATATATAGTTTAACAATTTTAAAAATATGTTATAAAATTCAAATCTTATACGTAGTAATTATAATTATAATTCAAAAATTATTCATTATAAATTATAATATATATATATATATATATATATATATATATATATATATATATATATAATACAAAAATGGTATTTTTGGTATTAGAGTACAAAAGTTATTCCCAAATACTTGGGAATAGCTAATATCTGAGGGTCTCCTAGGAATGGCTATTCCCCCTGCAAATGAATAGCTTATTCCCGGGAATGCTATTCCCAACCATGAAAAGACAAACCAAACAATGGAATAGGTCTATTTCCGGGAATGGTATTCTATTCCCGACCTATTCCATGAACCAAACACACAGTTAGTTTCTTTGTGTGCAAAATTGTACAATTTGATGTTGAGTTTACCTCCTAATGGGCTTGAGTATGGGTTAATTAATGGGGTCCTGATATTTGTAACTAAATTGACTTTATTTACCTCCTCATGAACCTAAGCAAGTCTATGAGGTTCAGGCGTTGACACGATTGATGTCATGTGAGTATCTGAATCAAACTTATATAGTTTTAATTGATTTTTTTTGTTCATACATACATACATACATACATACATACATACATACATACATACATACATACATACATACATATATATATATATATATATATATATAGTTAATTATAAAAACACACAATGCACGATAAAAAAAATGTACAATGGACAAGAATAATAGTGAAATTATATAATCAAAATAAATGTAAAATTACATAATCTTATACTGTTATTATGAGGGTAAAAAATTATAAAAAAAAAATATAAATAACTATCATATATAATATAAAAATTGAAATAAGGGATAAGAGTCAAATAGACGCTCTAACTATATACCAAAGTTCAATTAAACCCTTAAACTTATTAAAATGGTACAATTAACGTATTTTACAAGTTAACAAAAGGTAACCTATCAACTCTGCTTACATGGAATCCTATTCAGAAATTAAAAAAAAAAAAAAAAAAAAAAAACCTTTTCACAATGTAACCCGAACAGGATTCTCTGCCATGGACATAGCGAATTTCTCCGGTCTAATCTGGACGGAGAATCCCAACAACCAGTGTTGCAAAAATCGCGCCTAGGCGGCGATTAATCGGCGCCTAAATGCTCTAGGCGCCGATTAATCGCTCAAGGCGCCCGCCTAGGCGCCCTAGGCGGTTCCCAGGCGCCTAGCGATTTTTGCAACCTTGCCAACAAGCTTCTACGTCTATGGCAGCACAACTGCATGCTGCCATGGACAATAAGCCATCAATGGCTACCATGGACATCTACCATGGCAGCCAAGTTGCCATGAGTTTATTTTTTAATTTTTGGAATAGGGCTTAAATTAGTTATTGAACGTAACGTGAAAACGCATTGGGCCACTCAACTAAAATAAAAGTGTAATTAGATCATTCAACATTGTAAAACCATGCAACTTGTCTCAAGTGACCTGCACTGGCAGGTTACCAACAGGTAATTAGTTAAAATTTTAATTTTTTTTCTATAAAAAAAGATGGGCGGTTCTGCGGGTGCAGCAGGTGGTTCTCTTGGAGGGTGTCGATGTGTTGGGGCTACGCGGTTCAGATATTTGGAAACCATATACGCGTGTTGGAGGTTCTGTGGGTGTAGCAGACTTACATGCCATGGAAGAAGCGCGGGAAGGGAATGTTTTACGACTTCGATGCGTGGGGATTTCACCCTAATCCCTGCCGGCGGCAGCCCATATTCTTCTTCGTTAATGCTTTTTCGGAAGGGGATAGAACCGTGGTGAGCATTTACAGGAAAATGAGCCGTGAGTGATGCAGATTCGAACTAGCTTCTCCCAGGAAGATTGATAAAATCAGAGTGTAATCGAAGTTGGCCCTTGATAGAAACCGGTGGTCGCGAGTGAGGCAGCCCGGCGGAGGAAGGGCGGCGACGGTTGTGGTTTTAGATCTGTTGGTAGGCAAAAATGTAGAGGAAATGGTAGCGTTGGCTGTGGTCTTGATTATTGGCTGAAGAGAGGAATGACGTTGGCTGCACTGAAGGTTAGAGACAATCGGAGACCTTCTTTTTTTTTTTTTTTTTTTTTTTTTTTTTTTAAATTTAACTAATTACATGTTGGTAACCTGCCATTGCAGGTCACTTGTGACAAATGGCATAATTTTACAACGTTGAATGGTCTAATTGCACTTTTTTTTAGTTGAATGACCCAATTGTTTTCATGTTATGTTCGATGGCTAATTTGAGTCTTATTCCTTAATTTTTTAAAATAAATATTATTATTTTATGTTTTATAAAAATATTATTTTTAAAAGATATTGAGCTACCATGGACGTCTGCCATGGAAGATTGGCTGCCATGGTTTTAATTTATATATTTTTAAATTTTTTTAAATGAATATTATTATTTTAATTTTTTATAAAAATATAATTTTTAAAAGATATTAATTTAAGTGGCTGCATCTTATGTGGCAAGTGACTTAGAGTAACTTGCTATTATAGGTTAAATAGGTTAATTGAACAAATTTGACATGTTTAAGTGTTTAATTGGAGATTTTTTTTTTTTGTTTAAGGGTCTAACTGCACTTTGATATATAGTTGAAGAGTTTATTTGACCCTTATCTCTTAAAGTAATGTGAAATTTTACAAACATATTGTTAAAATGTTTGATGGCCGTTAGCTCCTAGCCGGTGGATTTGCAGGGACAATACAAATGTAAATATACTGGTAGAGAGAGTATGAAGACACCAGAAAGAGTTAGCCATTGCATTATGAAGAAACAAGCCTTTATAGTACAAAGTGATGTAGGTTACAAATCACTACATAATGACTAATCAATCTCAATAAAGGGACATAATGTCCATAATCAATATATTTTGTAACACTCCCCCTTGGACATTATTTAACCATATTCATGCCTCTTTAAAAACTCACAAGAAAGACCCGGTAGGAAAAACCTAAGTGAGAAAAGAGTACACGACATATGGGTAATGCATGTGTTGCTTCGGTTGCCTCATTAAAAACCTTACACTGAGAAAACCCTGTGGGAAAAAAAACTCAGTAAGGGAAAAAGAGTGCAACCGTAAACCTTCTGGGTTTAGGTATAAATCATAATAATATATCTTGATCTTCTGGATCAAAGTGAATGAATTAATCTTCTGGACTAATAATTTCATTATATTTAAAGTGTTGCTGCTCCCCCTGAAGACAACAGCCTTCCTAATCTACGCATACCAATTTTATATACATACTTTTCAAAAGTAAATGTAGGTAAGGACTTAGTGAATAAATCTGCCAGATTTTCACTTGATTGGATCTTTTGGACTCGTATTTCACCACTCTTCTGGAGTTCATGTGGATAAAATAATTTTGGTGCAATATGTTTGGTGAGATTACCTTTAACATATCCATTACTCATTTGTGCAACACATGCTGCATTGTCCTCATACAGGACAGTGGGGATCTTTCCATTATTCATTATTCCACACGAGTCTTGAATATTGTGTATTAATGACCTCAACCATACACATTCTTTGGAGGTCTCGTATAAGGCAATAATCTCAGAGTGGTTTGAGGAGGTAGCTACTAATGTTTGTTTAACTGATTTCCATGAGATAGCAGTACCTCCTGAAAGAAACACATACCCAGTATGAGATCTAGCATTATGCGGATCAGACATAAAACCAGCATCCGCATATCCCACTAATGTGGTGTCTTGGTCTCTTTTAAATAGAAGCCCAAGATCCTTTGTACCTTGTAAATATCTGAGGATATGTTTTATGCCATTCCAATGCCTTCTGGTTGGAGCAGCACTAAAACGAGCTAGCATGTTTACTGAAAATGCAATATCAGGTCTAGTGCAGTTGGCAAGATATAGAAGTGCTCCAATGGCACTTAAGTAAGGAACTTCTGGTCCCAGAATATCCTCATTATCTTCTTTAGGTCTGTACGGGTCCTTATCAACTTCAAGTGATCGGACTACCATTGGAGTACTAAGTGGATGGGACTTATACATGTAGAATTTCTCCAATAACTTGTCTGTGTATTTGGATTGGTGTATGAATATCCCTTCAGGGAGGTGCTTGATCTGCAGGCCGAGACAGAACTTGGTTTTTCCCAAGTCTTTCATTTCGAATTCCTCCTTTAAGCACAAACATGCCCTCTTGACATCCTTGCTTGTCCCTATGATGTTTATATCATCTACATAGATTGATATAATACAGAAACCATCAGTTGATTTCTTTATAAAGATGCAAGGACTAATATCTTTATTTTCATATCCTTGTTTTAAGAGGAATTCACTCAATCGACAATACCACATTCTTCCTGATTGTTTTAAGCCATACAATGACTTTTGTAGTTTTACGCTGAACATATTTTTATTTGTATTTCATTTACATAAAGGATTTTGGATGCCCTCAGGTATTTTCATATATATGTCTGCGTCTAGTGACCCATATAAATATGCGGTCACAACTTCCATTAACTGCATTTCTAAATTCATTTTTACTGCCATCGATATTAGATAACGGAACGATGTGCCATCTAAGACAGGAGAGTAAGTTTGTTCAAAATCTATTCCGGGTCTCTGTGAGAACCCTTGAGCTACCAGTCTCGCTTTGTATCTGACCACCTCATTTTGTTCTTTCCTCTTTCGTACAAATACCCATTTGGATCCTACTGGGATCACGCCTTTAGGGGTAAGTACAGGAGGGCTAAACACTTTTCTTTTATTTAGCGAGTTGAGCTTAGCCTCAATTGCTTCTTTCCATTTCAACCAATCAGAGCACTTTCGGCACTCCACTATATTTTTTGGTTCTGGATCCAGATTATTGAAAGAAATGTGGAGAGCTATTGTAGAGGCGAATTGGTCGTCGACGACTGTTATACTTCTATTAAGATTTTCTCCTGTTTCGAAAAAGTTTATGGCAGATTCTATATTTACTTCAACCAAGTCTTTCTCATTTGCTATCATATCTTAGTGAAGGTGTTCCGTATTCCCAGTGTTAGATTTATTTGTAGGACGTGCATTTACACTGAGTATTTCGTCTTCAGGACGATTTTGGAGTAACTGTGATTGTTTATTGTTTTTAATTTTCCGCGGATTTACATCTTTCGCACCAACTGGTCTTCCACGCTTCTGGCGTCGGATAGTGTCGGTGTTAGTATTTGGTCCTTTGGGGACAATTATCCTTGATGGAGCATTTTCTGCAGGAATATAGGACCTAGTTACTCTTTTATAATCAGTAAACGCATCTGGCAGATTATTTGCTAGTTTTTGCAAATATATTATTTTTTGAACTTCAATTTCAATTTGACTAGTACATGGGTCAAGATATTGAAGATCTTTTTCATCTCATGAAATTTCGTGGCATTTTTTCAAAGCTAGGCTTTTCTCTCCCCCTAATGCCGGGAAATGATCTTCATCAAAAATGCAGTCAGCAGACCGTGCAGTATACTGATCTGCTGTCATAGGCTCGAGGTATTTAATGATAGAAGGGGATGCATACCCAACATAAATACCTAATTGACGTTGCGGGCCCATTGAATAACGATGCGGAGGTGGTATAGGTTTGTAAACCGCACAACCAAAGACACGCAAATGAGAAATGTCTGGCTCATTACCACGTACAAGTTGTAGAGGGGAATAATCGTGATATGCAGTTGGCCGGAGTTGAATTAGATTTGCAGCATGCAACACTGCGTGTCCCCAACAATTTACTGGTAGACTGGACCGTTGCAGTAATGGTCTAGCTATTAGTTTAATTCTTTTGATAAGAGATTCAGCTAAACCATTCTGGGTGTGGACGTACGGTACAGGATGTTCCACCTTAATTCCCATGGCCATACAATAATCGTCAAAAGCTGGCGAAGTGAATTCACCAGCATTATCCATTCTTATGTTCTTAATAGGATAATCAGGGAATTGGGCATTCAACCTAATGATTTGGCTCATGAATTTTGCTAATGCCATATTTCGAGTGGACAACAAGCACACATGTGTCCATCGGGTGGAAGCATCAATAAGGACCATAAAATATCGAAATGGTCCGGATGAAGGATTAATTGGTCCACAAATATCACCCTGTAGCCTCTGCAGGAAGACAGGTGACTCAAAATCAATCTTAGGACGCGAGGGACGAACAATAAGTTTTCCCTGTGCACATGGAACACATGTGTAATCTTTTGTAGAAAGAATGTTTGTCCTAAGAAGGTTATGTCCAGTTGAATTTGAAAGAATCCGGCATATCATTGTTTGCCCAGGGTGACCTAAGCGGTCATGCCATAGACTGAAAGAATGTGTATCTTTAAATTTCACTGCGAGTGCAACGCAGGAGTGCTGGGGCCTAATATAGGAATAATACAGGCCTGAAGAAAAGGAAGCAAGTTCTTCAATTTCCTTTTTTTGGTTATTGACCGTTTTGGTCAAAACAAGGAATTCAGTATTGTTTTTAGTTTTAGTTTCTATGTGGAAACCGTTGGACCGAATATCCCTGAAACTGAGCAAAGTTCTTTTTGATTGAGGATATAGGAGGGCTAAATCAATTATCAACTTTGTTCCGTTAGGAAGAATAAGTGAAGCTCTGCCGGAGCCCACAATAGGAATGTCATCATTCGCTATGGTTGAAAGGTTTCCTTTGTGTTCCTTGAACGTTTGGAAAAATCTCCGGTCTGTCAGAATAGTGTGCGTAGTCGCACAATCAACCAAGCATAGGGTTGATTCATCTCCCATATCTCTAAAGAAAAGGAATGAGTATCAAGATAATGTGTAAGAAGGATCCATTGTATTTATTCAAATAGAACAAAAGTGTTCAAAAATAAAGGATCAATTATTCATATAGGACAAAAGAGTTCAAATATAAACATGCACGCAGGCATGAAGTAAAATGGATGTCCATAAGGGAAAGAGAGAAAAAAATAGGAGTATCACTCCTGATCTCCATAATCAGCTAGTTCATCGCCTAGCAGGTCATCATTCCCTAAGATGAGGGCATTTGCTTCAGGCAAAGATGATTGCCCAGAATCTTTCTTCTTTTGTCCTCCTTCCTGCTGGAGCATCTTTTGGTAAGCCTCGACCAGATGCTTAGGAGTCCTGCATGTCCTAGACCAATGTCCTTTGCAACCACATTTATAACATAGCTGCGACTGACCGTAGTTCTGTTGTGACTTGTTTGGTCTATTACTTTGAGTTTGCTTGTTCTGAGGACAGGAGTCACTACCGCTAACTCCCCCTCTGCCACCTCGCTTTGGGCCCCTACCACGACCTTTCCCCCTTCCCCGGCCTCGACCCCGTTGATTATTGCTCTGCTGGGCAACAGTGTGTGTTTCAGGCACAGGTGCAGCGCCAGTTGGACGCGCATTGTGATTATGCATCAATAATTGGCTATGCTTTTCAGCCACCAGTAAAGCCGTAATGAGCTCTGGATGCGTATCATACTTTGTATTCCTGTACTGCTTCTGGAGCACAAGGTCATTTGGATGGAACGTGGATAGATTTTTTTCAATCAGATCCTCGTCCGTATTGTTTGCTTACAGAGCTTCAATTGTTACACAATTTTGTGTAGGGCGGAGTTGTATTCAGTCACAGACTTAAAGTCTTGAAATCGGAGGTTAAGCCAATCATGTTGGGCCTGGGGGTGGACCAATGACGTCTGTTGGTCAAAGCGTGCCTTAAGAGATTTCCAGAGGACATATTCCCCCTTTTTCTATTAAGTATTCATTCTTGAGGTCGTGGTTAAGATGGTGGCGGAGGAAAATGAGCGCTTTTCCCTTCTGGGCTGCAGTGCTCGTAGATGTCTCTGCAATGGTATCCAGCAGTTCTGTAGATTGGAGATATATCTCAACATCAAGCGCCCAAGTGAGGAAATTGTTTCCATCGAGGGCGAGTTCAGCAAATTCTCTTTTTGCGAGAGAAGCCATTTCTACAGAAAATATTTGAATGAGGACCATAAAAATATATCGTGGACCTATTTAAATAAATTAAGGTCCATAGGAACATATAATATAGCATACCCAAAAAAAATGGTCCAAACAAATAAGGGCTTGAATGAGAATAAAAAATAGCCCATGAAAGATGGCCCATATAAATGATATGCAAAAATTAGAGGGCTTAATAAAAACCCTAGGCCGAAGAGAAAAAAAAACTCTTGCGTTATTAAACTTGAAACAGCTCGTCTGACCATTTAATAAAAAACTCTTGATCGCTGCGACCGCGGGAGGAATCCGGCCGTCACCGCCTCCTCCAGCCGCTGGTCGTCTTCGCCGTAGCAACGACTCCGCCGCCGCCCTCCTTCTGACGCGACCGGTGAGGGGCGACCGAAACTCGCAGCGATCCAGTGCCAGCGTGCCGGAGCATTCCCGGCCACCGACAACAACGACAAAATTTGGGAAAGGGATTCGGCAGAAGAATAAATAAATGACAGCAATAATAAATTTCTTAAGGTACTTGCAAAAAAAACACCGATCAGTTATTTAAAAAAAAAATGATTTTGCAGAACAAACTATGTATTCATTCACAAATTGGCATATATTTCAAAAACAGCATGTATACATTCAGATACAGATGATTTTGCAATCAGTATGCATATATACGGAATGTTATATATGCGAAAGATCAGCAAAAGAAATAGGTTGTTTTTGTTGTTGTTTTTTGTTTTTTTTTTTATTTACTTTTTTTTTTGAAAAGCGGGTACATAGCTGTATATATAGACATGGCCAGAAACTGTATACATGGTTACCCAGGACTATGCTTTTGTGTATTGATCGAAAAGAACATGTATATATATATATATCAGAATAATATGTATCTATCCAAGCATATACATATACAAGCATAGGCTAGAAACATATAAACATATAAATTCACATAGCATAAAAACAATATGCGATTTGAGACGACTTGGAAAAAATAAGGCATAAAACTCATAAAGTTACCGTTCATCGGGATTGATTGAGCGTGCCGATAACGTGTTAAAATGTTTGATGCCCGTTGACCCGTTAGCTTCTATGTAAATACACTGGTAGAGAGAGTATGAAGACACCAGAAAGAGTTAGCCATTGCATTATGAAGAAACAAGCCTTTACAACACGTTTGGTTCACGGAATGAATTTTGAGGTAATAGAAATGTTATTTCATAAGGAATGGAATAGGCAAAGAATAGAATAGGAATTGTAATCTATTGTTTGGTTCGCGGATGGAATAGACTTTAGAAATTATATTACAGTGTTTGGTTGATTTAAGGAATAGAAATGAAATATGTTTTAAAAGACATAAATACCCTTATAAAAATATGTGATGGTGGCGATGGTGGTGGTGGTGGTGGTGGCTGTGGTGGTGGTGGTGGTGGTGGTGGTGGTGGCGGCGATGGATGGTGGCGGTGGTGGTGATGGTGGGGGTGGCGGTGGTGGTGGTGGTGCTGGGGTGGTAGTGGTGGTGGCGGCGGTGACAGTGGTGGGGGCGACGGTGGTGGTGGTGACGGTGACGGTGACGGTTGTGGCAGTGGTGGTGGTGGTGGTGGCGGCGGTGACGGCGATGGTGGTGGCGGTGGTGGTGATGGTGGTGGTGCTGGGGTGGTAGTGGTGGTGGTGGGGGCGGCGGTGGTGCTGGGGCGGAGACGGTTGTGGCGATGGTGGTGGTGGTGGTGGTGGCGGCGGCGACGACGGTGGTGAAATAGGATAAATTTATATATAGGATAAAAAAATTAGGTTAAAGAAAGGGGTAAAAAAATAGATTCTAAAATCTATTCCTGAGCGTTCAGTAATAGGCTAATACCAGGGGGGCCTAGTAATACCTATTACTTTATTTCTGGTAATAGAAATGGTTACCAAACAAAGGAATAGGCCTATTACTGGGAATGCTATGCCATTCCCGGCCTATTCCGTGAACCAAACAGGCCATTATTGTACAAAGTGATGTAAGTTACAAATCACTACATAATGACTAATCAATCTCAATAAAGGGACATAATGTCCATAATCAATATATTTTGTAACACATATTAAGCACAATGTATAATTTAACAATGCATATAATTATATCAACACATTTTTATTCTCAATAGACCCTTACTAGAAAAAAAACAAAAAAAAAAAAAAAAAAACTCTATGAACAAAAAGAAAAAAAAAACAGAGAGAGAGAGAAGTCATATAATGAAACACATATGTGTCTAATTTCTATCTTTTTTTTTTAGTACTGCTGACTCTATTACATTATAGTATCTGTTCATACATGCTTTCTCAATCTGTTGAAGCACAAAGAGTCAACACCACTTCTGATCTCATGACCTCCCATATGGGAGAGTCACTACATGCCATCTGAGCACAAAGTGCTTGACAATCTCTATCTAAAATATGATAAAAGTTAATACTATTAGCCCTTAATGAAAAAAAAAAAAGGCACAAGTGTCAAATAGGCTCATCTACTATTTTGAAGTGCTCAATTTCCCCTATCAACTAAAACATAATCTAATTGGACACACTTACCTCTAAAAATGTGTCGATAAGTTTTTTTTGCAGGTTACTTCCGGTAGAGTTTGACTTGACCCGGTAACTGATTATGTGGCAATGATGATATGGCAATTAAATAACAAAATTTGCCATGTCACTGATTATGTGGCAATGATGACTTGGCCCCGGTCATTGTAAATGCATAACCATGTCATTATCATCTCAAATAATATGACAAGAATTTACAAGAGAGGAAAAATACAGTTATCCATGCCAAATGAATAAACAACAAATTAATGGCAAATTCCATTAACATAAAGTGAGTTGATTCACAAGAGAGGATGAATACAGTTATCCGTGCCAGAAGCATTCTCATCTCCTTTCCAAACAAAAAAAAAAACATTTCTTTGATACTCCGGCAGGAAATCCACCGGAAACCGCACGTTCTTTGGCAGCGATCACTATTTTCTACTGCGGCGCCAGCGGCGAAGGACCACAATGCTACTTAGAAGATTGAAAAAATACTTATAGCTAATAGAGGCGAAATAGCTTGTAGAATCATTAGAACCGCTAAAAGACTGTTATTTTGATGCCTGTTGAACCGTTAGCTTCTATGTAAATACACTGGTAGAGAGAGTATGAAGACACCAGAAAGAGTTAGCCATTGCATTATGAAGAAACAAGCCTTTACAACACGTTTGGTTCACGGAATGAATTTTGAGGTAATAGAAATGTTATTTCATAAGGAATGGAATAGGCAAGGGATAGAATAGGAATTGTAATCTATTGTTTGGTTCGCGGATGGAATAGACTATAGAAATTATATTACAGTGTTTGGTTGATTTAAGGAATAGAAATGAAATATGTTTTAAAAGACATAAATACCCTTATAAAAATATGTGATGGTGGCGATGGTGGTGGTGGTGGCGGTGGTGGTGGTAGTGGTGGCGGCGATGGATGGTGGCGGTGGTGGTGATGGTGGGGGTGGCGGTGGTGGTGGTGGTGCTGGGGTGGTAGTGGTGGTGGTGGCGGTGACAGTGGTGGGGGCGACGGTGGTGGTGGTGACGGTGACGGTTGTGGCAGTGGTGGTGGTGGTGGTGGTGGCGGCGACGGCGATGGTGGTGGCGGTGGTGTTGATGGTGGTGGTAGCGGTGGTGGTGCTGGGGTGGTAGTGGTGGTGGTGGGGGCGGCGGTGGTGCTGGGGCGGCGACGGTTGTGGCGATGGTGGTGGTGGTGGTGGCGGCGACGATGGTGGTGAAATAGGATAAATTTATATATAGGATAAAAAAATTAGGTTAAAGAAAGGGGTAAAAAAAATAGATTCTAAAATCTATTCCTGAGCGTTCAGTAATAGGCTAATACCAGGGGGGCCTAGTAATACCTATTACTTTATTTGAGGTAATAGGCTATTACCAGGAATATTATTCCTGGTAATAGAAATGGTTACCAAACAAAGGAATAGGCCTATTACTGGGAATGCTATGCCATTCCCGGCCTATTCCGTGAACCAAACAGGCCATTATTGGACAAAGTGATGTAAGTTACAAATCACTATATAATGACTAATCAATCTCAATAAAGGGACATAATGTCCATAATCAATATATTTTGTAACACATATTAAGCACAATGTATAATTTAACAATGCATATAATTATATCAACACATTTTTATTCTCAATAGACCCTTACTAGAAAAAAACAAAAAAAAAAAAAAAAAAAAAAAAGAGAGAGAGAGAGAGAAGTCATATAATGAAACACATATGTGTCTAATTTCTATCCTTTTTTTTTTAGTACTACTGACTCTATTACATTATAGTATCTGTTCATACATGCTTTTTCAATCTGTTGATGCACAAAGAGTCAACACCACCTCTGATCTCAAGACCTCCCATATGGGAGAGTCACTACATGCCATCTGAGCACAAA